GTACTTACAGCATCCTTCTCTTGGAATTTGACAATGCTCTCACTCACCACCAAAATTTCCTCCGTGATTACAAACTAAATTCCCCAAACTTCTCTTTATAATTCTGTTCTTGTTCCCACCTTCTTTGATACTTACATTCCCCATTGATGAACTGCTCCCATGACATCTTGACAGAATGTGGCCACTAGATTTCATCAATCAAGAAAAAGAATACAACAGTGGATGTTCGAGAAACTTCATATACTCTTATACTGAATTTATCTAAGATATCCCTTCATTCTCAAACTCCCCCCATCCGTCTCCCATTTTGGACATTTATTCTTCTGTCCCCTTTTATAAGTAATATGTAATGGGACCCTATAGATTGCTGATAACTGTTGAAACGAAGCCATTCCAGGCTTTAAAAAAAGAACATCCAATTTTCAGTCCATGGAACCAGAGCAATATTCTCACGCTAACATCAAGAACATGCAAGACCAAAAGGAATAAGAGGGGGGAAGTGTCGAAGGAATTATTGGGGAAAGAAATTAGGCTAAATGAAATTTAGCAAAATTGATGAAAACATTCTTCACGAAAGAACCTACAATCGATCATCCTCCTACTTGATCATGTGATAAATTAACCAAATTCATCCGAACAAAATTTTATAGGTTTGCTAATGATGTAGAACCTGAATTCTTGCTTCGGCATTCCAAGCTGTTTCACCGTGCCTTATCACAACAATTTCAGCAACTGCTGGGTTGACATAGCTGCATATCAACATCAACATGCGATCCAATTCAAGTTCATAATCAAACGTAGAAACCGAGGAAAAGGCAAATTACAAAATACAAAAACAACAAAATAAAAAACGAAAAAGAAATAGGAATTAGTGGTGAGAGCAGAAGAGAAAACTGATGATCGAACCTGAAATCCGACTCGGCCATGGAAGAGAGATGGCGTATCTGGGTGATCGAGTCGCGAGGGTAGTGAAAATCTAGACTTCCAAGTAAACATTTCGCTTCATTTAATATCCACAAATAGAAAGTTTACGATTAAATTATGAATTTTTTATGCTTCTATTTTTTATTTTTTTTATCCCTCAAATGATTTTCTTTTCATTATTTCTCTTTTATCTCAAAGGGACTAAAGCAGGTTTGATCCCAAAGGATGAACTCGAGCCTACAACAAATAGTAACCTATGACGACACAAAATTTGTTTGGTTTAAGGGTTCGTTGGATATCCATAAATGACGACAAATAGTAACCTATGACCGACACAAAATTTGTTTGGTTTAAAGGTTCATAGATATCCATAAATGACGACAAATAATAACCTATAACAACACAAAATTTTTTTGGTTTAAGGGTTCGTTAGATATCCATAAATGACGACACAAAATTTATTTGGTTTAAGGGTTCGTTAGATATCCATAAATGACGACACAAGGATTGTTAGATATCTATAAATGACGACAAATAGTAACGTATGCCGACCCAAAATTTGTTTGGTGTAAGGGTTCAATTTTGTACCTTTGATATTAATTTTGAGAATAAATATCATTTGGTTAGAGGGAGTTTGAGCTTATTATTGGACTTAGACATCAAACATGATATGTGAGGAACAATGTTTATTGGGTTAGACTTAGAATAAAGTTCTTTAATGATAGTACAATTAAGATTTTATTTTTATTTCATCGAAATTGTAATGATAAATGTAGAGAAAAAAGTGGCAAATAAACACGAGCTTACTTAGATGATTAGGATAGGCTTTGTAACGTGAATTGGAGCGAGATAATATTTGAGATGAAAGGTTGAATAAACGTATTATGGTTAAAAAAACGTCATACAAAGAGTGGTCAAATGGTATATCAGAAACATACAATCTTTATGGTTTTCCACATATATTCCACGTTACAAATAATTTTTTTATTTTTCCGTTTCTATGTTCTGAAGCAACTCTTGTAGCTCAATTGGTTAGAATACGGTTATTATCATCAACCAATGGGATCCGACAGGGAACTAATAGTGGGGATTGATGAATTTTAGTAAAAATACAAAATAGATTAGAGTTTATCGTTTTAACGGTTTGAATGTTAGTTAGTTTTTCATTTCTATGTTTGGTATGTCTACTCTTCGAAGTGGCTCTTATAGCTTAGCTGGTTAGAGCACTTGTTTAATAAGCGGGAGGTCTTTTGAGTTCAACTCTCAACAAGAGCACATTTTCATGAACCGATGTGATCGGATACTTGAAACTAATAATAGCGGTATTGTTGATAATCATTTTCTTGAACGGATACCTGAAACTAGGTTTATCTTTTTTACCGTCTAAATGTTAGTTTGTTTGTCGTTTCTATGCTCGGTATGTCTACTTTTTGAAGTGGCTCTTGTAGCTCAGTTGGTTAGAGCACCCGTTTAGTAAGCGGGAGGTCTTGAGTTCAACTCTCAACAAGAGCATTTTCTCTATAATCAATGAGATCATACTTGAAACTAATAATAGTTGTATTTTGTTGATGCTTTTCGGTTAAAATTGATTGGGTCTTATCTTTTTTACCGTTTGAATATTAGTTTGTTTGTCATTTCTATGCTCGGTATGTCTACCTTTCGAAGTGGCTCTTGTAGCTTACCGTTTGAATATTAGTTTGTTTGTCGTTTCTATGCTCGGTATGTCTACCTTTCAAAGTGGCTCTTGTAGCTCAATTGGTTAGAGCACCCATTTAGTAAGCGGGAGGTCTTAAGTTCAACTCTCAACAAGAGCATTTTCTTGAACCAATGTGATCGTATACCTGAAATTAATAATAGCGGTATTGTTGATAACCAATTTAGGTTAAAATTGATTGGGGCTTATATTTTTTACCGTTTGAATGTTAGTTTGTTTGTCATTTCTATGCTCGATATGTCTAACCTTTAAATTGGCTCTTGTAGCTCAGTTGGTTTGAGCACCACTTTAGTAAGCGGGAGGTCTTAAGTTTAATTCTCAATAAGAGCATTTTCTTGAACCGATGATAGGCTTATCTTTTTTACCGTCTAAATGTTAGTTTGTTTGTCGTTTCTATGCTCGGTATGTCTACTTTTTGAAGTGGCTTTTGTAGCTCAGTTGGTTAGAGCACCCGTTTAGTAAGCGGGAGGTCTTGAGTTCAACTCTCAACAAGAGCACATTTTCTCAAATCGATCTGATCGAATACTTGAAACTAAAATAGCAGTATGATTGATACCTGAAACTAGGCTTATCTTTTTTACCGTCTAAATGTTAGTTTGTTTGTCGTTTCTAAGCTCAGTATGTTTATTTTTTGAAGTGGCTCTTGTAGCTCAGTTGGTTAGAGCACCTGTTTAGCAAGCAAGAGGTCTTGAGTTCAACTCTCAACAAAAACATTTTCTCGAACCATGTGATTGGGTTGTTGGTTTGTTTGTCGTTTCTATGCTCGGTATGTCTACCTTTTGAAGTGGCTCTTATAGCTCAGTTGGTTAAAGCACCGCTTTAGTAAGCGGGAGGTCTTGAGTTCAACTCTCAACAAGAGCACATTTTCTCGAACCGATGAGAACAAATACCTGAAACTAGGATTATCTTTTTTACCGTTTGAATGTTAGTTTGTTTGTCGTTTCTATGATCGGTATGTCTACTTTTTGAAGTGGCTTTTGTAGCTCAGCTGGTTAGAGCACCCGTTTAGTAAGCGGGAGGTCTTGAGTTAGTTCAACTCTCAAAAAGAGCACATTTTCTCGAACCGATGAGAACAGATACCTGAAATTGGGCTTATCTTTTTTACCGTTTGAATGTTAGTTTTTTTGTCGTTTCTATGCTCGGTATGTCTACTTTTTTAAGTGGCTCTTGTAGCTCAGTTGGTTAGAGCACCCGTTTAGTAAGCGGGAGGTCTTGAGTTCAACTCTCAACAAGAGCACATTTTCTCGAACCGATGAGAACAGATACCTGAAATTGGGCTTATCTTTTTTACCGTTTGAATGTTAGTTTTTTTGTCGTTTCTATGCTCGGTATGTCTACTTTTTTAAGTGGCTCTTGTAGCTCAGTTGGTTAGAGCACTTGTTTAGTAAGCGGGAGGTCTTGAGTTCAACTCTCAACAAGAAGAGCAACATTATTGTCAACGATATATATTTTGGTATCTATTTTACGTTTTTAATGTTAGTTTGTTTGCCGGTTCCATGTTCGATATGTTAGCTTTTGATGTGGCTCTTGTAGCTCAGTTGGTTAGAGCACCCGTTTAGTAAGCGGGAGGTCTTGAGTTCAACTCTCAACAAGAGCAACATTATTGTCAACCAATGATATATATTTGGGTATCTATTTTACGTTTGAATGTTAGTGCGTTTGCCGGTTCTATGTTCGATATGTTAACTTTTGATGTGGCTCTTGTAGCTCAGTTGGTTAGAGCACCCGTTTAGTAAGCGGGAGGTCTTGAGTTCAACTCTCAACAAGAGCAACATTATTGTCAACCAATGATATATATTTGGGTATCTATTTTACGTTTGAATGTTAGTGCGTTTGCCGGTTCTATGTTCGATATGTTAACTTTTGATGTGGCTCTTGTAGCTCAGTTGGTTAGAGCACCTTGCCGGTTCTATGTTCGATATGTTAGCTTTTGATGTGGCTCTTGTAGCTCAGTTGGTTAGAGCACCCGTTTAGTAAGCGGGAGGTCTTGAGTTCAACTCTCAACGCTCTTGTAGCTCAGTTGGTTAGAGCACCCGTTTAGTAAGCGGGAGGTCTTGAGTTCAACTCTCAACGAGAGCACATTTTCTCGAACCGATGAGAACAGAGACCTGAATCTGGGCTTATCTTTTTTACCGTTTGAATGTTAGTTTGTTTGTCGTTTCTATGCTCGGTATGTCTACTTTTTTAAGTGGCTCTTGTAGCTCAGTTGGTTAGAGCACCTGTTTAGTAAGCGGGAGGTCTTGAGTTCAACTCTCAACAAGAGCAATATTATTGTCAACGATATATATTTTGGTATCTATTTTACGTTTTTAATGTTAGTTCGTTTGCCGGTTCCATGTTCGATATGTTAGCTTTTGATGTGGCTCTTGTAGCTCAGTTGGTTTGAGCACTCGTTTAGTAAGCGGGAGGTCTTGAGTTCAACTCTCAATAAGAGCAACATTATTGTCAACCAATGATATATATTTGGGTATCTATTTTACGTTTGAATGTTAGTGCGTTTGCCGGTTCTATGTTCGATATGTTAGCTTTTGATGTGGCTCTTGTAGCTCAGTTGGTTAGAGCACCTGTTTAGTAAGCGGGAGGTCTTGAGTTCAACTCTCAACAAAAGCAATATTATTGTCAAGCACGACCAAGGTGTTAGTGCGTTTGCCGGTTCTATGTTTGATATGTTAGCTTTGATGTGGCTTTTGTAGCTTAGTTGGTTAGAGCACCGCTTTAGTAAGCGGGGGAGGTCTTGAGTTCACAATGTTTTATTGTCAACCATGACCAAGGAGCTTTCATACCTCAAGGTCCAGTCCACTAAGAAGCTACAAATCTTATTTAATTATAATTTCTTCGAATCACGAGTATAGAAACGAGTTTTCTTTACTCTTGATCGTAATCCGTTCCATACTTTCCCTTGGGTTGATTTCCATATCATTTGATCGGATATATGTTTCATTGCGCTATCTCTTTTAATTCTCTTATAATTTTTTATTCTTATGTTCTTTAAAGTGTTAGATCTGGATCTTATCAACACTTTGTTCTTCTTTAAGATTTCCATATCATTTGATCGGATATATGTTTCATTGCGCTATCTCTTTTAATTCTCTTATAATTTTTTTTCTCAGTTGTGTAGAATTTTCATGTTCTATCACAAAAATATATAACTTAGATTTATCCAATCAGAAGAAAATAAAAACCATTGAAAGAAAGAAAGCTTATTGATGTTAAATGTCTTTAGGTTATTGATGTTAAATGTCTTTCTTTTTTCTTGTTGATTATTATATGTAACTCTCATATGTTACTACGTCTAAATTAGTCTTAATCATTTTCTTTCTTTAATTCGTTTCTTTGTCGTTATTCGGATTGCTTCTTCAATACCTTGTTTATGTGTTGAGTGTGTTGTCTATTCACTTTGAATTGCACGAGTGTGATTTGTGTGTGCTCAATTGTGAGGGTGAGTTTGCAAGGGAGTGACACATTGATTCGAGTGTTGAGTTCTAAACACGAGTGAACTACCTTTACGAGTGAATACACGTGAGGGAGCGCTTGTGAGGTCCTTTTTTTTCTTTTACCTTTCTTTTATAACATGGAAAATCCAGACGACAATACTGACATTACTGATGCATGATTGAGAGAAGCACAACAACGAACCATGGAAAGCCTAATTCGAGGAATAGAAGAGTTGACTGATCGAATAGGAAGATTGGAGATTCAAAATCAAGCTCGACAGAGGATTCCACTACCTACGCCCTCAACCGATACATATGAGGGGGACAATTCTGATCACCACGAGGATAATCCACATGGGGTTGGTCATGACTTGATGCGAGGGAGAGACCATGGAAGAAGGTATCATAATTTACAACAACGAGTTCCTTATGATGATAGAATTGATCGTAACGTGGGGAGCATCAAATTAAAACTTCCCAAGTTTTATGGCAAAACCGATCCAGAAGAGTACCTTCAATGGGAGAAAACGGTGGAGCCGGTGTTCAACTATCATAATTTTAGTGATGAAAAGAAGGTACTGTTATGCATTGCTCAATTCAAACAATATGCTCAAATTTGGTGGGATAAATTGATGTCAAGTAGGAGAAGAAATCTTGAAGCACCAATTGATTCATGGGTCGAGTTCAAAGAGTCCATGAGGAAGTGTTTTGTTCCACAATATTTTCAACGGGACACGGCACAAAAGCTTCAAGCATTGAAACAAGGACGCAAATCTGTGGAGGATTATTACAAGGAGATGGATAAATTGATGGATCGACTTGAACTCGATGAGGACATGGAGGCTCTCATGGCGCGGTTTCTTAATGGGTTAAACACAGAGATTGCGGACAGGACTGATTTACAGCCTTATTCTAATATTGAGGAGTTGTTGCACATTGCAATTAAGATCGAGAGGCAAATCCAACGAAGGTCTCAATAGTATTCTTCTAAAACTTTTCCCAATTCTACTTCTACATGTAAAAAGGATAGTAAGAACACTAATTATAAGCATAGAAATCAAGAGATTAATGAGAAGCCTCAAGCTAAATTTGAGAAAGGGGAGAGTTCCAGAACAGAGAAAGAAAAAGTAGAAAAGTATAATGTTCGAAATAGAGATTTAAAGTGTTGGAGATGTCAAGGGGTAGGACACTATAGTAGAGATTGCCCAAATGCAAGAATTATGACCATCAAGGAGGGAGAAATTGTTCCGGATGACGAGGCACATGACGACATAAATGAGGAAACTGATGAGAGTGAGGAGTTTATTGAAGAGGACCCTACACATATATCTTTGGTTACTCGACGAGCTCTAAACACCCACATTAAGGATAACGGCCTAGACCAAAGGGAGAACTTGTTTCAAACTCGGTGTCTTGTTCAATCTGTACCTTGTAGTGTTGTCATTGATAGCGGTAGTTGCACCAATGTTGTGAGTTCCATTCTGGTCAAAAGACTTAATTTAAAGACACAACCACATCCAAGACCCTACAAGCTTCAATGGTTGAATGATTGTGGAGAAGTACGGGTAACTCAACAAACTCTTGTTTCTTTTACTATTGAAAAATATGTTGATGATGTTTTATGTGATGTTGTATCCATGCATGTTGGAGATTTACTACTGGGGAGGCCATGGCAATTTGATCGTCAGGTAATGTATGATGGGTATGCAAATCGATATTCTTTTACTCACAATGGTAGAAAAACTACTCTTGTTCCATTGTCTCCAAAAGATGTATTTATTGATCATTGCAAACTTGAAAAGAAAAGGCAAGAGGCTGATGCAAAAGCAGAGATTGAAAAAGAATCAAGTGAAAAAAAAAAGCTTGAGTGAAAAGCAAGAGAGTAACACTCAGCCTAGAGAAAAAAAAGAGAGAAAAACCAAATCAGTAAGCTTGAATGTTAGATCAAGTGAGACTAGGAATGTTTCGCTCTCTAACCAGACTATTCTTGTACTTATGTGCAAGGGATCTTGTTACTTTACTAACATGCTTAACCCTTCTTTGCCTAGTGATTTTGTTATGCTTTTGCGAGAGTTTGAAAATTTATTTTCCGAGGAGATGCTTAGTAGTTTGCCACCACTTAGAGGGATTGAACACAAGATTGACTTCATTCCTGGCGCTCCCATTCCAAACCGACCAACTTATAGGACTAATCCAAAGGAGACTAAAGAGATACAAAGGCAAGTAAGTGAACTCCTTGCTAAAGGGTATGTACGTGAAAGTTTGAGTTCTTGTTCTGTTCTAGTTATTCTTGTACCTAAGAAAGATGGTTCTTGACGTATGTGTGTTGATTGTAGGGCTATAAACAAGATAACTATAAAGTATAAGCATCCAATTCCCAGATTAGATGATATGCTTGATGAATTGCATGGATGTAGTCTTTTTACTAAGATTGATTTAAAATCGGGTTATCATCAAATTCGCATGCATATTGGGGATGAGAGGGAAACAGCTTTTAAAACCAAGTATGGTCTTTATGAATGGTTGGTTATGCCTTTTGGATTAACTAATGCACCTAGTACATTCATGAGACTAATGAACCATGTCTTACGAGAATACTTAGTTAAGTTTGTGGTTGTTTATTTTGATGACATCCTTGTTTACTCTAAATCTTTAGATGATCATATTACCCATGTACGCGATGTTTTGACTACTTTAAGATACGAATGTTTGTACGTAAATTTAAAGAAATGTAGCTTTTGCATGGAAAAAGTTAACTTTCTTGGGTTTGTAGTTTCATCTAATGGTGTTGAGGTTGATGAGGAGAAAGTGAAGGCTATAAAAGATTGGCCTACACCTAAAAATGTAAGTGAGGTGAGAAGTTTTCATGGTCTTGCAAGTTTCTACTGTAGGTTCATTAAGAATTTTAGTATAATTGCTTCACCCTTGAATGAACTTGTTAAGAAAAATGTATCCTTTATATGGGAAAAAGATCAAGAACTTGCTTTTAATACTTTGAAAGAAAAATTGAGTTATGCTCCCTTGCTTGCATTACCTAATTTTGAGTCTACTTTTGAAATTGAATGTGATGCTAGTGGAGTAGAGATAGGTGTTGTATTAATGCAAAATCAAAGACCTTTAATGTTCTTAAGTGAGAAGTTGACTGGTGCATCTTTGAGGTATCCAACTTATGACAAAGAGCTTTATGCTTTGGTTCGTGCATTGCAAACCTGGCAACATTATCTTTGGCCTAAGGAGTTCATTATTCATATAGATCATGAAAGTTTAAAGCATTTGAGAGTACAAAATAAACTCAACAGACGACATGCTAAGTGGTTAGAATTTATTGAAACATTCCCTTGTGTCATAAAATATAAACAAGGTAAGGAGAACATTGTTGCAGATGCTTTATCACGAAGGTATATCCTCCTCAATACTTTGAATGCTAGGTTGTTGGGTTTTGAACACATAAAGGATTTGTATCACATAACATGTTCTTTGCTCCTTTTGTTGAATCTTGTAAAAAAGGACTCATTGTGGATAATTACTTGTTGTTAGATGGATTTTTGTTCCGAAAAGGCAAACTTTGCATACCATCTTGTTCCATCCGTGAGCTACTTGTGAGGGAAGCTCATGGAGGTGGTATAATGGCACACCATGGAGTTTCTAAAACTTATGATATGCTCTCTGAACATTTTTTTTGGCCTAAAATGAGACATGATGTTCATAAAGTTTGTGCTCGTTGCATAGCATGTAAACCAGCTAAGTCTAGGCTTCAACCACATGGTTTATACTCTCCATTACCGGTTCCTAATGGTCCTTGGATTGATATATCAATGGATTTTGTTTTAGGTCTACCTAGGACTAGGAAAGGTTATGATAGCATCTTCGTTGTGGTTGATCGACTTAGTAAAATGGCTCATTTTATTCCTTGTCACAAAACTGATGATGCAAAACACATTGCAGACCTGTTCTTTAGGGAAGTTGTACGATTGCATGGCATTCCTAAAAGCATCGTTAGTG